TAATTCAGGCATTGCTCTCATCATCCATTAAACTACACTGCACAAGACTTAGGGGAAAACATTCCTTTGCTTTGTTCTACTGAGTGAGGCCACTGAGTGCCTTTGATTAAAATTCAGCAATTCGTATGTGGTCCTATATGATCAAAAACTAAAATGTCAGGATTCTCTTGGCTTAAAGCTGAAATTTAGCAGTGTCCAACCACGAACGGTGTGGCGTGGTTCATGCATTACCAAAATGCACCTCCGCGCAAAACTCCGTTCTGTGGTTAGGGTCCACCCTCGAATACCCGGCATCCAGCACTTTCTTCGTGTCAGCCCTGAGCCCTAGGCAATGGAACAGCCTAACGGCACCATAACCTTTCCATCGAACCCAGTGTTTTCTACCGAATCATATGTAACCCCCTGCAACCATGGCTGGCACCATTCACTCCAAAAATTAGGGTAACTCTTGCGGGATTGAGTGTCACAGAACTTCACAGCTCCACCTCAGAGCACAGGGGAAGAGAAAGCAAATCGGTTAGGCGGCCCCGTCGCCCCCGTGTGGCCGACGTGAGCAGGACGCAGGTCACCAGCCTGGGAGAGAGACAGAGGCAGGGAGAGCCAAGAACCGAGCGGGCGGTACTCACATGGCGAAGGAGCCCGGGGGAGCCGACACTCTGCGCAGGTCCGCAGACTGCACCTGGTGGATGCTAGAGGCGGCGGGGAATGGGCAGCGGAGACAGAGCCAGCACACAGCGTGGACAGACAGGGGGCACGCCGGGGGAGAGAGAGAGAGACAGACACAGTTTAACAGAAATCCAACAGTGCTTCACCCAACAGGGAGCAAGACGAAAAGAAAACGAAGCCAGCCACGGAGGTCATCCAGGAAGCGGACGGGAGCCAGGAAGCCGACAGGACACACGGACGAGGCTGGCTCTGCGGCCACGGAGCGCAGGGCGGGCGAAGCCTGTGCAGGCGCGCGGGCTGGGGCGCTCGGCCCCAGGGGTCAAGGTGATGGTGGCGCGGGCCGGCTTCCGGAGCTGCTTCACAAGCCCCTCCTCGTCTGGGCCTTTGAGGACGTCCTGAGAGAGGAGGCGCACACACGCGTGCGCACAGACATGTACACACACGCACACACATGTACACATGTGCACACACACGCACGCGAGAGGGCTAGCTTGGCACAGGAAGTACACCTTGCTGGAGATTAAAGGCCCATGTCATCCTTGAGCACAGCCCTTGAGGGTCCCTGCAGGTCACACTCATTATTTGTGGCGAAGACAACCATCTAGAAAGGAGTAGACCAGCTAGACACCTTTGACTTTCCAGAAGCTTGGACCTCCTTGTGCTCAACAGCACAGGCTTTTTAAGAACTCCAAGGGAAGGCTGCATTCATCACGGTGAGGCCTCAGTCCCACCCACGTTCTGGGCGGGAAATGAGAAACCGAAGACTATCCCCCCTTCTCTTCCTCCCTTTGTAACGGAGAGGCCTCCATGGCGGCTGGAAATGAGGCCTGATTTTCCCGGTGATTTTTACTTCTCTCTGTCCTCGCCGACCGCTGAAGGGTTTCCCTATAGCGACAGCAGCCCTGGTGCCCTTGGGGGGCACAGAAACTCACAAGTATATACCTTCTACTTATTATCATGAAATGTGACCAAGATGGCTTCTATCTTATTTTAATGTTAATGAGATTATTTTAAGGTTCTTTTTTGGTACACGTGTGTGCCACAACGGGTTAAGCACTTGGCTGCTAACCAAAAGGTGGGAGGTTCAAACCCATGGCAGAAAGGATGTAGCAGTGTGTTCCCATAAAGATTACAGCCTAGGAAATTCTATGGGGCAGTTCTGTTCTGTCCTATGAGGTGACTGAGCTGGAATCGACTAAATAGCACACACAACAATGGGCAGTCCTCTCTGTCCTGTAGGGTCATTGCAAGTCAGAAACCACTCATGGCTGTGGGTTTAGTTTTGGGGGGTTTATAGTTCTGATCTATGGGTAAGCCATTTACTCAGCACCGGGCCATAACCTTCAGGCACTGTGACAACCACTGGGTAGCCTAAAGGAAACCCCAGGACTTCCCACAGAGCAGAGCAGAGAGACAAGGAAACCAGTGGTTCCAGTGTTACCTGATAGAGAATGTGAGAGGCTCCTAACAGAGAGGGCGTCTAAGACCTGGATGTTGGTTGAAAAGGATCCCTAAGGAAAGTGATACTGCAGTGGCTTCTTGAACTGCGAGCGAGAGCTAGCCAGATGACCACGGGGTAAGGGGCCACCACAAGAAGAGCAATGGAAATGCACAAATGTGACAGTGTAGACACGGGCTGCAGTCCTGCGAACAGTACATATCTCTGGAGCATGGGGACAGGAGGGAGAAGAAAGCAAAATTCAGAAAACGCCTGATGTCAATGCCAGGAAATGTAGGCTCTCCAATTCTGGAAGGGTTGTGCTAACTAGAATAGAGGAACAGAGAGATGAGGCGAAGAACAATTAACACCAGAAGCAAGGCCATGAATGACAAGAGAGAGATGCTGTGAGATGCAAAGGTCTGAGAAGTAATTGGCAGGTAAATCTCAAAGGACACGGTCGCTGGCCTATTGGATGTGTGGAAGCAGAGCTGTTGAGCTCACACACAATGAATGACGTAAGTGGTTCAGTGGATGGTGAGGAGGCAAAGCCCGGGGAATAGAGTCAATGGCTCTGCTGTTTAGTGTGGAGCGTATGGGTGTTATGGGATCTTCAGGTAAAGATGTCAAATAAGATGTCTGGTTCTGGTCTTCAGTTTTCAGAAGAAAAGCTTGAGGTGCAGACATGATCTTCCAGAGAAGAGGTAGGCCACCTACTTGCTGTGGGACAGGGAGCCAGCTGCCCGGGAAACCACAGTGCTGAACTCTCAGATATTCATAACAGCATGGTGTGGGGACGGAAGGATTCATTATATGGAGTCAAAGTTACTGCCTTCTGATTGGGACACACGTCCACATGTTTTAAAACTAGAATTCTCAAGACATTTTAAACCAGTGCTGTTTTCTTCCTTAGTAAGGAGGAGAAAAGAGAAGCAAATAAAGCCAAAGAAATGATCAGTTTTAGTAAAAAGTAAGAAGGAAGGAAAGGAAAGAGAGAGAAGGAAAAAGAAAGGAGGAAAGGAAAAGAGAGAAGGAATGGGGCCAGGAGGGAAGAGGGGGAGAGAAGAGCAAAAGGAGATAAGAAACGTCTTTCCCTGATGTCTTTCTGCCCTGGATGGGACCGTGAGCTTCACACAACCACGGCCGGAACAGAGAGAGGCATGGAGGACCCTGAAGGCCAAAGAAAAGTTGTAGAAGGGTCTTAGGGCCAGGCTGCCTTTGAACTTGGCAGTCCACTAGGAACTCCATGGAAGAAGCTGAATCTCAAAGCAAGGACTCCTGGTGGAAGAGAGAAGCAATCTGACTGCAGAAGGCGACTAGGACCCACAGGAAGAAGAATCTGGATCAAAGGCACAAGTGTTCCGTGGAAACTCGGCGCTGGTTTCCTGAAATATGTTGTTGTTATGTGCCGTCGAGTCGGCCCCGACTCATAGCGACCCCTCCTTGGGTTTCCGAGGCAGTATCACTACGGAAGTAGATTGCCCAACCTTCCTTCCGAGGAGTGGCTGGTGGGTTTGAACCGCCAGCCATCTGGTTAGCAGGCATGAAATATGTTAGCTGTATAAATTTTCTGAAAACATAGTGTTTTCCTAAGAAGTAGTAACTAAGATATTTTCCAGGTTTAAAAGTGTTCCTTTCAAAAACGCACAGCATACTCCTAAAAGTTCTCTCCTTAGCCTGAGGCTGCTGGCAGGAGGCACCACTGCCCCCTGGTGGAAAGGAAATGCATCTTTGTGAACACCTATCTATGAAGGTACGTCCTATGTCACATGGGCCAGGGGCATGCAAAGAAAATAACTCTATTTGTTTTTAGATGTGAAGAAAGCTCAAGTCACAACAGTTTGGCTACTGTGCTAATACACATTTTTGATTCTCTCAAAGGTAAGAGCAGTTTGAAATGAAACACCTGAAAAGCATTTCCTCTTTCCCAAACCAGTGGCTAGGGCTTAGCAGGTGAACCTTGTCCAGGTGCTGACATCCTCCCCCACTCTTCCGACGTACAAACACAGCAACCGTACCTTTCCTAATAGAAGGTCAGGGCACCGAGAAAGGGAAGCACCAGGAATGAGCTAAGCACCTCACAAGCTGCAAAACATCAACCAAACAAGAGAGAGAACTAAGCAGCCCCTCCCTGCTGGGGAGTCCAGAGGTGCTTTGGAAAGATGCAGCCGGAGGACAGAGCTCTGACTCCAGCGTCGGCCTTAGAAACAGACACCAAACACTGGAGCTCTGAGGGCTAAGGCTGAGGCCGACCCTCAGTGCATGCCCCAATGGAAGAGGACACGCAAAGTTCTGATAGTGAGCTATGGCACCTGTGTTGCTGGTGTATTCTAAGAGCTGCAGCAGACTGTCACGCTGACTCCATAAATGCATGGTGGGCACACCCCTGTTTCACAGGTGCTACAAGGAAGGCAGCCATTCAGTACAAATTGGTAACCACGCATCACTGGTGCAAACTGGGGAGGGTACCTTTGAGGGTCCCCCTAACTGTGACACAATGCCCCAAGGCTGAGCCCTGAAATGGCCTTACTTAGAGTCAGATTAGGCATATGGGCACAATGCGTACAAGATACTCAAAAAGATGCCCCAAATCTCCATCTTTCTGTAGCCCCTCTTCTGAAAGAGACATTTCAGTCATAATTAGGTTAAAGCACAGAACCTGTATTACCCAAAACTCTAGTCACGATCCCCTTAAGTCAGTTTACAAGATGCCAACCAAAGGAAAGGACCAGGAGGGACATATTCTGTTTAGGGGTAGAAGTCATCTCATTTCTCTAGATAACAGGATATTGCCCAGAAAGGCTGCACTGAAGGCACAGCACAGAGGAGACCCCAAAATGGAAGAGGAAAGTGACAATTCACTAACAGGCAGAAGCAGTGTGATCACCTGCCGTGGGGGGCCCACTACTCTCCAAATGAGCTGGGTGAAGAGGAGGCTAATAACGTGCCTCCTTTAAGCCAAACCAGAAAAGCACGTGTCGAGACACATTTCAGGAGCCCACTTCCTGTGAGTCTCAGTCCTAGTAGGTATATACTCAGCAGTCAATGATGAAGAGCCATCTCTCTAGCATACAGGAATTTCACAGAGAAGGGTGGCAACTGTGTAATAAACCAAGGGGGAAATATATATATATATATTCCCATGAGAGAAACCAAGGACCCATTGAGCCTCCTGGACTGGCCCTCTCTTCCCAGTACAGTGAGGCCCCCAGACCATGCACGCTGCACGTTCCCCTCCCCGAGGCCGCCATGTCAGCAAAGGTGGGAGCTGACTCACTCATTGAGTAAAGGCATGGAGGTTCTCCTCTTGCTTTTCTGTACCATGTTGGCCTGATTCCTCAAGGAGATCCGGATCATGGCCGGGGCCAACCTGCAGGGCTCCCCGTCCACCTGCATGGGGATGGACTTGTACGTCAGAAGCATGACTTCCCGGCACTGATGCAGCCGCTCCCCATGGCCCCCCACTTGCAGGGCAGCCTAGAGAAGCAAGAGTCAAAAGGGAACACGGCGTTAATGTCCAAGTTACAAAGGAAAACCAAAGCCCCCAAGTGCACTAAGTGTCTCCAAAAGGCTTGAACAGGCACGGACACTTGTTAGGCCATGGCCTATGGGAAACCATTAATACAAATAAACTGGAATTCAAAACCATTCATGAGCTTGGCCATGAATTCTTATTAGCAACTTTTCAGCTTTATGTATACTGAGCCTCGATCAAGGTAGTGAATGCAAAGGTTCTTACAGGCATTGTCGTCCTCCATGAAATGACCAACGTACGCAGAACACACAGATTAAGGCAGCTTCTAAATTATATTCTAGTTCTTAAATATCAACAAGCAGCCCACCCTTGCTTAATTGTCAAACATGGGCAGGCTTTTCCTTCTTACCTGACACCTCCTCGAGCTCTGCCTAACTTGTAGACATTAATCATATGCAGCAAGAGTAATTCGTTCAATTAAAAATATTATCACAAGTAAAGCAGCTTTGTAGATAACATCAGACAGAGTAACAGCTCAATTCATCTCAACAGCCACAGAATGGAGAGCAGGCTGATGCTGAAAGTCTTTGTCTGAAGGACTACAGAACCATCTAATCAC